ACTGCTCAACTTTAAATCAGTAAAATAATCAACAGAAACGCTTCCCACAAAAGGGCCAGTGTTTCTCCAAAAATAAAAACTTAAAAGAGAGAAAAGTCAGTACCAAATGACCAAAAATTTTTATTTGACTAAATTCAATTTCATGCCTAAGCATGACAGTCTCCCCTGTTTATTAGACTTTGGCAATTAAAAAAAAAAAAAAAAAAAACAAGCAGCCTTGTACAGAACAGTGAAAATGCCAAAGACAAGGGTATCTACAGTTTTACTGTAGGATAAATATATATATATATCTATATATATATATATTTTTAAAAGGCCTCCCTCTCTTTGGCCATATCAACTCTCAGTTCAGATTGTTAAATACAGACAAATTTTTAAAATCACTTCTTCACTTCTCCAAGATCTTCAATGCTGTCATCATCCACCTGTAAAATACAAGTAAGTACATTTCATGAATTCTGGTATCGCATGAGAAAATATAGAAGCAACTGGTTTTAAACACGTATTTCTATGGATGCACGTGGTCACAGACTTACCTCTGGCCACTTCTCCTGAATGACATCGATTATGTCATCTGTAAAGTCTCCCTGGATGATGATTTCGTCCTCCCCTGTTACTGAGGCACCACAGGAAAATTTCTGAGCAAAAAACCTTTGTGCTTCTTTAAGATCAATTTCTGTGTTTAAAAAAAAAGAGTAAGACTGTAATTGGAATTGTGCATCCAAAATACTGTTCCATTTAAAAATTTAACCTGCATTTTACATTTATAAAACAGGCTGCTTTAATGGGCCTCATATTTCTTTCAGAACAAACTACCATAAGCAAGTGGTCTAAACAAATCATCTTATACATTCAAGGTCAAATAAAGCCTTAGTAAATAAAAACAGCATCACCCACACTACCCATAACTGCAATAGTAAGGCCAAAGAAATTCAGGAACATAATGACTCCTAGCACTGCATTCAAAGCAGGAGTGACATTCTTCTGTTTGGCCCCTTTCACAAAAGAGAATTTTACTACAGAGAAACAAAGCTTCGATTTATCATGGGCTCCAGTGACTGCTTTTCATTCTGCGTTGTCACTCACAGGGACCTGGTTTACATTTTTACCCCAGTTGTACTATTCACTTAAGGCCAAGTGGGCTCTGGAGCAGGGCATTCTGCTGCCACCCTCTACTGTCATTCCCAGAGCGGAAGGGCTACAGTCACCCTCGGCCACCAATCCCGCAGAGGACAGAGGAGCGGCATGGGCCGGCTTCACAGGGAATCCTACCCCACCTTCTCCATTCTATGTAAAATGAGCCTTGCCAGGAATTCCAGAAAACAAAAGGTTGTACCAGTCCCACCTGCAAAAGATTTTTTAACTTCTCCAAAAATCTGATGTTGAAGCTGTAGTTGAAAAAGCAAGCTCCCGTTTTGTTTTTTTTTTCCGTATTTTAAAGGAACTTGTAAGGCCGTACTCACCAAAAGTTGCCAGGCCACACACTCTTGTCACGTATTTCTTCTTTGCTCTGGGAATCTTGGCTATCGCTACCTTCTGTGGTACGGTCTTCTTTTTTTGTTTTATTTGACCCCTTCCACCTTCATTTATTAAGAAAGAGTTTGGCATTAACTGTTTTTGTTTTTCACATAAACAACTCCAGAACACCAAGTCTTTAAATTTGTTAATTTTCAAAAAGGACCAAAAATTAATTTTTAAAGTTGTTCTCCAATACAAAATTAGTAAATACATGTGTGAGTATTCATTCAACGAACATTTATTAAGTACGTACTATGTGCCAAGCAAGGAGCTCTGGTGGTGTAGTACCTAAGGCATTTGACTGCTAACCAGAAGGTTGGCAGTTCAAACCCACCAGCCACTCCTCAGAAGGAAGACTGGGAAATCTACATCCATAAAGATTCACCACCTTGGAAACCCAAAGGGAGTGGCTATGAGTCAGGATTGACTTGATGGCGGTGAGCTTGGTTCGGTTTGTGTCAAGCACTGCACTAAGGGCTGAGGACACAGACATGAACAGAACACAGTCCTTGCCTCCAGGGACTCTCAGTCTAGTGAAGGAAGACAAAAAGTTAAGACAGGACCCTGATGCCTGCAGCAGGAGCCATGGCTAAGGCACCACCCGGTGCCTCAGGACAGCCTGCTTCTGAGGACAGAAGAGGTCCCCTCGAGTCAGTGACATCTAAGCTGGGTCCTGAAGGACAAGGCATTGTCCTGGTGTAGGAAGAAGGGCTGAGGGTGTAAGAAAGGACACTCCAGGGAAAGGGAAGAAGCACAGCTTCATATGTGTCATGACTGAGGGGTGTTTACGGACGTGTGGCAGACGAGGCAGGGGAAGCAGAGAGCACAGACGAGTCACTGAGAGGCCAGCACTCAGCCCTGGTATCTGGACTGTGTCCTGTGGATGAGGAGAAGCCATCGAAAGACTGCAGGAGTGAAATGACCAGATCTATGTTTTCTCAGCATCACTCCGACTACATGTGTGGGGGTGGGTTTGTGAAGGAAAAGGCTGAAAGCAAGCCAGGGCGGTGGCTCTGGCATTAGTTCAGCAGAAATTAATCGAAAGCTGCCCCACAGCAGTGGCCACAGTCACGGACACTAAGCACAGGGCACAGCGAGTAAACAGGAACAGAACTCCGGACTGCATTCAAGGGGGCAGAGAGAGAGAAGCTAACATGGCTCTCGGGGTTCTGACCGAGATGACCGGTATAGACCGTGCGTCATTAACCAAAAAGTAGTAGATGTGAGATGGAATGCTTTTAGAAGAGCTTGGGTTTGAGGTGCCTGAGAGACAAGGCCAGGTCTACAGAGGAAGACTCAGGACTCCTCAGTGTAGAGCGATGGCAAAGGAGGGGAGGGGTGCAGTAAGAGCATGCAGGTAGAATGTGCAGCACCACAAGGTGAGAGGACAGGGACAGAATCCTGGGAAACACCAACTTTCCAGGGACAGAAGGAAGAAGTCTCGGCAGGAGACTGAGAAGTGAAAGAAAATTAGGAAAGAGTGCAACAGAAGCCAAGGGAGTGCAACACTTCAAGAAGGGAGTACAATACTTGAAGAGGAAGGAGATGCACCGCTTCTAGAAAAAGGGAGTGGCCAAGTGCTCTTCCTATTTAGCAATTACCGAGTCACTGGTGACCCTCACCGGAGGGGTTTCAGTGGCATGAAAGCCAGGTTCAAATGAACCAAGGAGCAAACCATGAACAGATGAGAAAGTGGAACAGTCAGTCTACTCTTTGGAAAGAAGACTGGATAGGAAGGAAAGAAGAAGAACAAGGTAATAAAAAGACATGGGTTCTTGGGAGAATATTTTTTAAAGATGGGCAGTCCCAAGAATCAATGTGATGTTGATCACAGGGGAGAAACACTAATGAAGAAGAAACACAAGGGGCCGGGATCCAGTGTACACACAGAGGGGTTAGTCTCAGGAGGGAGAACAGAAAGACAGGTACTCGCAATATTTGAAGGGTTTCTACTGAGCTGTCAGAAGTAATAAGGAGAGAATAAATCTTACATACATGTACTCACTCTAGTCAAACAGGACATACAGGTATTTTAATAATAAGGTAACAGTTTTAAGGTCATAAATAAGCTGGTGGGTCGCTTTTCATATGTATTTTGTTGTTGTTATGTGCCGTCGAGTCAAATCCGACTCATAGCGACCCCTCCTTGGGTTTCCAAGGCAGTATCACTACAGAAGTAGGATTGCCCAACCTTCCTTCCGAGGAGTGGCTGGTGGGTTTGAACCGCCAGCCGTCTGGTTAGCAGGCAGGTGTCTTAGCCACTATGCTACCAGAGCTCCTTTTCCTATGTATATACAGTGCAAATAAGCAAGCTGCCTTGGCTCCAAGTTACTGATGAAGCCCAAACCGCAGCACATCCGAGCACCTTCCTGAGACTGATTCCACCTCCCTCTGCATGATACACACATGCAATTAAATAACAAGTAGACACTCGTTTTGGGAACCTTTTTAATACTTGTCTTCTATCAAAGGAAACGTGCATTTATACAAATCAAAACACAGACTTCAGTCTTACCTCTCTTCTGCTTTTTCTTCTCTTCCTCTTCCCCGGCTGTTCCTTGACCCTCACTAATTCCAGCTTCTTGTTTGGGTGAATTTTCTAGATGTACAAATTAAATCCAAAAGCATTACCATCACTTCAAATACCCTTTAATGAAAGAAATCACCCTTTGAGCAGCCTTACACACAAGTTAGGCAGTTTACCAACAAGGGAACGTGACATTTATAAAGCATTTGACTTTACTGCTAAAGCTCTACTCGGCCCCTTGTGGAAAGCCATCATGGGGTCCAGAGTCTATGGAAAAGGAAACAATAAAGTCTGTAATGTGTGGAGATTAGGATTGTTTAGCAAAGTGAAAGCAGCATAAACTGCTCAGGCTCCATTGCAGTGCATATCATCTAGATACTCATTTTGTTAACAGGAAGTCTATCCTGGATAAGAGTCTCTTCCCCTTCCCCTGAAAGTCTCAGTCAGGTCCTGGGCACGTTATACTCAGGGCAGACCAAATCAACTGACTGCAACATGAGACAACAGTGCTTATCCGACCACTGACGTGACAGAGCAGTGACTGTCCAAAACGCCCTATCAAGTTTCGGGTTTGTGCCTCACAGAAACAACCTAGAAATTAAAGCCGCACACACTGGAGCAATGTTGGGGGTATTTAAAGCAGCCTATTCCCAACCTAAGGTGCCCTGGTGGGTACAGCGGTGAAGCATTCAGCTGTTAACCAAAAGGTCAGTGGTTCAAACCCCCCAGCTGCTCCACGGGGTAAAGATGTGGCAATCTGCTTCTGCGAAGATTCAGCCTTGGAAACCTTGTGGGGCAGTTCTTCTACTCGGCCCTATAGGGCTGCTAGTGAGCTGGGATCTACTCAATAGGAATGGGTTTGGGTCTATTCCCAGCCAAGGCAGTCCTTTCTTCCTGTTACTGTCTCCATTTTTACCAATCCGGTAAGGAAAAAAAAAAATCCACTGCCATCAGGTTAATTCCAACTCACAGTGCCCCTGGAGGACAGAGGAGAACTGTCCCATAGGGTTTCCAAGGCTGTAATCTTTACAGAAGCAGATTGTCTCATCTTTCTCCCATGGAATGGCTGGTGGGCTCAAATTGCCAACTTTTTGGTTAGAAGGCCAGTGCTTTAACTGCTGCTTCACTAGAGCTTCCTAATCTGGTAATAGAAGCCATCAATTTGAACAAATTGAGCGTATCTGCTCCCCTCCTTGGTCTTCTCACTTGAGGCACCAGCAACTCCACTCTCCTAGTTGCCTGGGCCAAAACCTTAGAAGCTACTCATCTTCATACCCCACATCCAATACATCAGGAAATCCTGTCAGCACTACCCCCAAATATATCCAGAATCTGACATCCTTCATCCTCCACTGCCCCTGTTCTGGTCCGAGTCATCATCATCTCCTGATCAGATTACTCAACAGCCTCCAATCTAGTCTCCCTGCTCCTCTGTTTGCTTCCCCTCCTGCCAATGCTTAAGATGGCAGCCAAAGTGACACTGCTGGAACAAAAGTCACACCTTATTATTCTTCTGCTCACAACCTTCCAGTAGCTCCCCATTTTACTCACAGTAAAAGCCAAGCCTTTACAACGGTCCACCAGGTCATACAAGATCTAGTCCCTCATTACTTCTCTGATTTCCTATCTTCCACCTCCTTCAATCAGTTCCAGACAGGATGGCCTCCTTCCTATATGCTTTTGCCTCAGGGCCTTTGCACTGGCCCTACCCTCTGCCTGAAATGCTTTCTCTGGACACCACATGGCTCTGCCCCTCACCTCCTGTTGGTTTTCATTCAAACATCTTCCCTGCTCCCTCTATCTACAATTTAAAATTCTTTCCCCAACCCTTCTATCTCCTTCTTCCCTACTTATCACTATCTAACATACTGACATTTCACTTATTTTGTTTCCCTTTCTAGCATTTAATTCCTTTAAGAGCAGGGGATCTTTTACTTACTGCTTTATCCAGCAACCTCAATCAGTGCATAGCACACAACAGGTTCACAGCAAGTAACTGGTTCAATGAATAAGTAAGTATGTACTTGCCCTACATCATTTACTTTTCTTCATATAAGCTGATACTTAGACTTATCCTGTCTCATGAAGCAGTGTGTGATTCTATAGAAAGAATTTTAATGCAAAAACTTAGAAAGTTTTTAAAATCATTTGGAAAAAAAGAAAAAAAAAAAGGGGGGGACCAGTTTTGCTGGTCTGACAGAGCCTGGTGGAACCACTGACACTATGGCCCCTAGCTGCCCTTCAGGTCTGGAATTGAAACCACACCTGTGGCTTCCAGCCAAACAAAAGACAGGCATAGCAGTTGAACATTTACCTGAGGTAGATACACTCCTTGGAGAGAACAATCACGGAAGAAAGAAGGGCTGTTTATGCACAGGGAGACAGCTCAGGGGGCAGGAGTGCATGGAAGGATGGACACAGGGAAAAGGTGACTGTCGGGAGGAAGTGGACAGGGAGCTGTTGCATTGTGGTGAACTGTGGTCAATGTCATGAAACAAACTGTATGTGAAGTGCTGCATGGAAAGTGAATTTGCTCTGTAAACTTTCACCCAGTCACAATTAAAAGAAAAAAAAAAAACAACCTTAAAGGGTTTTAAGGTTAATAGATATATATAACTCTGTAATATCCTAGTGGAGGAGGACTTTCATATTTTAAAAATAATGTCATCTGTACATTTATTTCAGGTACAAAAGCGTTGATGATAGAGGAAAAAGAAGTTCTTACCTACACTAAGTTTTGCAAACTCCTTTGGAAAATTCTTCTCTAACCATTGTCTACATTTAGCAACATCAGGCATATATTCACAGTACTAGGGAAAAGAAAAACCATAAATTTAACTGTTTAAAGAGTTACAACAGAACACTGTCAATCAACCAATACATTTTAATTAAAAATCACTCCTTTTACCTGCTACATAAAGAATGATGAAATTAACTACCTGCCTTCCTAACGACAGGACATCTGCACTCTGCCAGGGACCAGGAAATACACAAAAAAACGCAGAAATTGAAAAAAGGATGAGGCACCTCTTCATTATAGCAATTTATTTCCTCTCCATCAAATAGAAGGCTGTTAGAAAACGGAGCAGCACACACAGCATGTCTGCTTGTGTCTTCCTTTGGGCACAGGGGTGCCTCATGACATTCATGGCTTGCCCACCAAGCCTGACATAGAAGCTCATTATTACCAGAAAGTCTTGAACACAATTTCTGCTTTCTTCCCTCTGCTTGGTCATGTATATTTTGGCTTTAAGATTACTGTTTTGAAGGAAACCAAAGTCTCAAAGAAGAAACTAGTCCACAGGACTAAAAGCCCACATGAGCCATGGCCTCTTCTACTCTGTGACTCTAAGTAGTGTAACCGTTCTGACCAGGGACATAATAGAAGGTCCCATATAAAATGGAGGAGCTCTGGTAGCATAGTGCCTAAGGCACTTGACTGCTCACCAGAAGGCTGGCGGTTCAAACCCACCAGCCACTCCTCGGAAGGAAGGTTGGGCAATCCTACTTCCATTAGTGATACTGCCTCGGAAACCCAAGGAGGGGTTGCTATGAGTAGGCTTGGAAGACTCGACGGTAAACAACAACAACATATAAAATGATAGAAAAAGTAGAACAAAAGTCAAATTCCTGAAAAAGGCCAGCTCTACTGGACTCAGAGAGGCTAGAGGAACCCCCGAGACTATTGCCCTAAGATACCCTTTGACCTTGGAATTGAAGCTATTTCTGTAGGTCATCTTTCAGACTGGCTTATAAAATAAACAGTAGCCCCCATGAGTAATAATCTCCCTTAAATAACCAACTGTATGAGACTGAACTGTCAACATTTTACCCAAAAGCAAAGATGAGAAGGCAAGGAGGGGACGGGAAGCTAGATCAAAGGAAACAGAATGGAAATCAAGAGAATGCTGACCTACTGTGTAAATTGTAACCAATGTCATGGAACAATCTGTATAAAAATTGTCAAATGGGAACCTGATTTGATGTGTAAACTTTCATCTAAAACGCAGTAAGGTATTTTTTTTTTTAAAGATGACTCTTCTGTTTCATTAGCTGGCCATTCATGAGTTTCATGAAAAAACCCAAACCGCACAGCCAACTGTAAAAGATTTACACACGAGTCAAAGTCTAAAACATTCGTAAGACATAAAATTATTCCAAATCAAAGTTCTCTATACCCATTGTTGTTGAGTTGATTCCAACTCATGGCGACCTTATAGGGCAGAATCGAACTGCCCACAGGGTTTCCAAGGCTGTAAATCTTCACAGAAGCTGACTGCCGATCTCTCTCCCACGAACAGCTACTGGGTTCAAACTGCCAACCTTTCGGCTAGCAGCTGAGCACTTAAGCACTATGCCACCAGGGCTCCTTAAAGTTCTTTATAAAATACTGAAACTCTACTATTATGGAATGATAGAAAATGAAAAACAGGAGGAAAAAATACAATACAATAAAAAATATAATATGATAAAAAAAGAAAAGAATAAAACATTGGGAAACACTCCATCTTTATGACTTGAAACAATCTGAATCATAGTGTGAATTAAATTCAAATTGGCCCCATCTGTTCCTATTATTTTTTTTAATATCACCTTTACTGAAATACAATTTACATACAATAAACTGCCATTTTAAAGTGAACCCCCCCCCCAAAAAAATGGCCTCAACTGCCTAAGTTAGAAAAGAGAAGAACATTTTCAAAGGACTTACCTCTGTTGGTAATGAACAGACTAGAGAAATGGGGATAGAGAAGAAAAAAAAAAGCTTTGAAATTTCAAATATATACATACATATACAGGGCAAATCATTACTTTCATTTTAAATTGAAAAAAAATGCTTCAACTTTTTATCTGTAACTTTCACAAACCATGCTTTTCAAATGCTACCCTTTCATGGCTTTTTTTAAGGTAAACTCCACATAACTGTGATAGATACTACCTTAATTTTTGAATCAAAAGGAAAATGTCTCCTTCACTGTGATGTGGTGTTCTTCGCATAAACCTATAAATGGAATCTCATATAAGAAAACATCAGATAAACCTAAAGTGAGGGCCATTCTACTACATAATTGGTCTATATTCTTCAAAAATATCAATGTCTTGAAATACAGAGACTCAGACACTGCTCCAGATTAAAGTAGACTGCTCAACACACATGGAGTCTCCAAGAGTCCCAATCAACTAGATGGCAACTAACAACGACAACAGAGACACAGCAGTTGAATGCCACACATGACTTTGGATTTTTTTTTTTTTGGGGGGGGGGGGGGAGCCCATAAAGCACATTATTGAGACAAAGAAGAAAAATCTCAACATGGTCTATAAATTAAATAACAGTATTGTATCTATGTTCAGAGAGAGAAAGACCACATGCACAAATGTAGTACATATGGGTGGAAGACATCAGGAATTTTTTGTACAATTCTTGCCACTTTTCTGTAACTCTGAAATTATATGCAAAATAGTAATAACTGAATTTTGGTAGAGGTAAAAAGGCATTCTCTTGTTCGCCTTTAACATTTTCTATATATTTGAGTATTTCCATAATTAAAAGTTGAAATCAATGTAAAATGGAATTTTTAAACTTTTATACCAAGCAAACAGTCCAAAATATTCCAAGGAGTTAACAAAATAGGGCATTTCCAATTCACAAATTTCTGTATTAAAAATGAGAAGAAATATCCAAAGGAAAACAAAATCCTGAAGTTCCTTGTAAGTCTGGCATTCAAGGTCTCCCACAATCTGTCCCGAACCCTACTTCCATCCTATTTACACTATCCACCTTTCCCAATCCTACATAATCAAACTGTTAACACTTGCACTTCCTTCTCCATTCCAGACTTCCCTACCTCTCTTCCTCTGCTCCTTTGCTTGGTGTGTCCTTCCTTCTGCCCTTCTGTATCTATCTGAACGCTACTTTTTCTTCAAAGCCTGGTTCAACTGTTACCACTTCTATGAAGTCTTTCCTGATCCCCTACAACTGAGAGAAATCTCTTCCTTCACTTGTGCTGCCACTAAAACTACCTGTACCATCCTTTCAGCAACTGTCAACATCCACCCTGTGTAAGTTATGAAGAGACTAAATAAGAGCAGGGCCACACCAACTGACCATTCCTGCATGAAGCCTAGCCCAGGATCCAACATCACAGCTACTCAATAACTATCTGTTCAATGAGTATTTTTCTTTCCAGTCTCTGTAAATTATTAATTCACTGTGATGTGATCCATAGAATGCCATCATACTTTCCAATATTTTTATAAAGTGGTAGTTAGAAGGCATCTGAAAGGAACAATCAAAACCCATCTCTCCCATGGTTTTATTCAACTAAAACATAAGAACTACACTCCCCAGGGTTTTCAAGGCTATGACTTTGAAAGCAGATCACCATGCCTCTCTTTCTAGGTTCCCTAAATGGGTTCCAACCACCAGCATTTTGGTTAGTAGTCAAGCACTTAACCAAATTGTACCATCCAGGGATTCCAACTGAAAAGTCATCCTTAGATAGAAATGCAACTTTCAGTAGCTTCCACCTACTAGGGCTAGTTCACTGACTCCCTGAGACCATAAAAAGCAGATCTGATTCTTTACTCACATATTGTTGTTGTGCGCCACTGAGTCAATTTCAAATCATTGCAACCCTATAGGACAGAGTACAACTGCTCCATAGGGTTTCCTAGCCTGTAATCTTTATGGAAGCAGATCACCAAGTCTTTTTTCCTTCGGAGCAGGTAGTGGGTTTGAACAGCGGACCTTTCAGTTAAAAGCTGAGTGTGTAACCACTGCATAAGCAGGGTTCCTCTTTACTCTCATACACTTTCAAATTGAGATTGTCTTTCCACCAGTAACTATCATATAAAATTATAACAGGAACCTATATTCTGGGTACTTAATTAACATAAATGTACCATTTTCACATAGACTTAGTTGCACTCCTTAATTACAAAAAAATAATAAAATAGGGTTTCTAAAGGATAACATCTTCATTAAGCTTTCTAACTTTCCACTAATTTAACAGCTCCATGTGGTGAAATCCACCCAACTCACTCCACTCCAAGTGCATCCTTCAAGGGTCTGTTTGGTGCTTCTCTCCCCTTTCCTTTGAAAAACTCATATAATGCCTACCTTCAAACATCATCTCTATGGCTGATAGTCCAAATCTTTATTTCTTTTATCTCTCTGCTAATTTCAAAGGACTTAAATTCTTTCATTTGGATCAACTCAAATTCATTGCATTGGAGAAATGAACCCATCAACCACCTAATATTTCTCAACATCATCATCTTTAGTAGCATTCCAGTTCTTCAGCTATTGCAATTTAGATAACATGGAATTCATCTCTGAATCTTTTTCCTTTAATAGTTAGCACTTACAGACCACTTAGTCAGTTCTTGTGTAAGCCACTGTACCAGGAAATTTATAGAAATCATCTATTAGACCTAAGAAGATGTAATATGACCTTCATTTTACAGACTTCAGAAACAGGTATCTAAATCTTAGAGAAGTTAAGTAGCTTGCCCCAGATCACACAGCTGTTAAGTGCTGGAGTCAGCATGCAAACCCTGGTCTGTGATGCCAAGTAAACCAAATGACCAATATCATTAACAAAACTCAATCAACTCTACAAAGGTTTCTCTGTCTACATTTTTGTCCAGATATTGTACACTAATTTTATTTTACTACCAAAGATATTCATATGACAAGTTGCTAACGTTTTCAACTCAGTAACATCACTTCTTCTACAAGGTTGTGATAGCATTCACAATGCTGAGGTCCACAAGAACAGATAACTTTGATTTCTTCACAGTCCTAAGCATCTGAAACAATGCCAGGCACAAGTGCTCAAAAATATTCACTGAGTGAATAAATAAATCTAAGCCTTTTACTGCCACAAGTCTTCAAATTTTTCTGAAATATTCCCAGGTGCTAATAAAATAGGGCATAAAAAAATCCCCAACAAATACAGTATTGCTGTTAGGTGTCATTAAGTAGGTTATGACTTACAGTGACCCTACATACAACAGAACAAACCACTGCCTGGTCCTATGACATTCTCACAACTGTTGCTATGTTTGAGCCCACTGTTGCAGCCACTGTGTCAATTCATCTTGTTGAGGACCTTCCTTTTTTCTGCTGACCCTCTACTTTACCAAGCATCTCCTTCTCAGAAACTGGCTGCTCCTAGCAACATGTCCAAAGTACATGAAGCGAAATCTCACCATCTTCACTTCTACGGAGCCTTCTGGCTGCAATTCTTCCAAGACAGGTTTGTTCATTCTTCTGGCAGTCTGTGGTATATTCAATATTCTTTGCAACACCAAAATTAAAATGCATCAATCCTTTTTCTTTCTTATTCACAGTCCAGTTCCCACATGCATATTAGGAGAATGAAAATAGCATGGCTTGGGTCAGGACATCTTAGTCCTCAGGGTGATATCTTTACTGTTTAATACGTTAAAGAGATGTTTCACAACAGAGTTGCCTAATGCAGTATGTTATACCATAGTGCCTAGGGCACTTGACTGCTAACCAGAAGGCTGGCGGTTCAAACCCACCAGCCACTCCTCGGAAGGAAGATGGGGCAATCTACTTCTGTAGTGATACTGCTTCGGAAACCCAAGGAGGGGTCGCTATGAGTCAGGGCCGACTCGATGGCACATAACAACAACAACAACAACAACAGCATTTGATTTCTTGACTGATGCTTTTACAGGCATTGATTATGGATTCAAATAAATGAAATCTTTGATACCCTTCAATATTTTCTCCATTTATTACGATGTTGCTTACTGGTCCATTTGTATGGATTTTTGTTTTTTTATGTTGAAGTAATTCACACTTAAAGCTATACTCTTTGATCTTCATCAGTAAGTGCTTCAAGTCTTCTTCACTTTCTGCAAACAAGGTTGTGTCATCTGCATACAGCAGGTTGTTAATAAACCTTTCTCCAATACTAATGCCACATTGTCTTCATATAGTCTAGCTTCTTGGATTATTTGCACAGTACTGATTGAATAATTATGGTGAAAGGATACAACCCTGAAGCATACATTTCCTGATTTTAAACCATGCAGGGTCCCCTTCTTCCATTCTAACAACTGACTCTTGGTCTGTATACAGGTTCTGCATGAACACAATTAAGTGTTTTAGAATTCCCATTCTTCACAATGTTATCCGTAAGTTGTTAAGATCCACACAGTTGAATGCCTTTTCATAGTCAATAAAACACAGATAAACATTTTTCTAGTGTTCTCTGCTTTCAGCCAATATCCATCTGACATCAGCAACAATATCCCTTGTTCCATGTCCTCTTCTGAATATGAATTTCTGGCAATTCCCTGTCAATGTACTGCTGCAACTGCTTTTGAATTATCTTCAGCAAAATTTTACTTGTGTGGATATTAATGGTATTGTTCAATAATTATCACATTCGGTTGGATTACCTTTGTTTGGAATGTGCACAAACAGGGATCTCTTCCTGTCAGTTGACCAGGTAGCTGTCTTCTAAATTTCTCAGCATTGACGAGTGACTGCTTCAGTGTTGCATTTGTTTGTTGAAACACCTCAACTGTTATTCCATCAATTCCTAGCCCCTCGTATTTTTACCAATGCCTTCAGTGCAGCTTGGACTTTTTCTTTCAGTACTATCAGTTCTCGATTATATGCTCTTTCCTAAAATGGTTAAATGTCATCAAATTCTTTTTGGTACAGTGACTCTGTATATTCCTTCCATCTTCTTTTGATGCTTCCTGCATTGTTCAACATTTTGCCCATAGAATCCTTCAATATTGCAACTCGAGGCATGAATTTTTTCTTCAGTTCTTTCAGCTTGAGAAACACTAAGCATGTTCTTCGCCTTTGGTTTCCTAACTCCAAGTCTTTGCAAATTTCATTATAATACTCTGTTTTCTCAAGCTATTCTTGGAAATCTGTTCCACTTCTTCACTTCATAATTTCTTTCATACACTTTCCAAAACACCAAACTCACTGCTGTCAAGTCGGATCTGACTCATAGCGACCCCT